GTCGCCTCGCTGAAACCCGTGTCAGAGGAGGGCAGCGCCCTGCCTGCCCGCAGCCCCGGCAGGAACAAGGTGAGTTTTGCGCCCGCTGTCACCCCGTTGCTCTTGGATGGGGATTGTGCCCCCGCTTCCCCTGATGATGAGCTGCTACCGGGGGATCTGCAGAGCCTTTTTCCTGCAACTCCTGGTGGTTACAGAGCTGTGTGAGCCCGGCGTGGAGCCGGCAGGGCTCACTGAGTCTGATGATGTGACTGCCATGGGAAGCCTGCGTGTCACCAGCAGATGCTGTAGGTCCCCAGAGAGCCTGGAAATGGCTGATGTGGCTTTTGTGGGAAGTGTAACTGGCTGCTCCGGGGCTCCCGCTTGTCGGCAGGCGGCTGCGGACATGTTTGCAGGGTGGGGTTGGCCGGGTGTGTGCGGCTGCGAGGTGGCGGTTGGTTGTACACAAACATGGGCGAAGCAAGTCTGGGGAGTAGGAGACTCCAGTGCAGGCAAAGTCCAGGTGTGAGACAAATAGATGTGAAAGGCAGCGGCGTAACTGCAAAATGGTTTAGATCATGACCCCGATAACGCAAGGTGAAAGCTGAGTCACTTCAGCAAGGCAAACAAAAGCTCAGACAAAAATCAGGCTGAATGAACAGGGTGGTATTTGCTGACTGGCCGCGCAGGTAACTTCTCCCCTTTCCTGAAGGAGCTAAATGCTTCCCAGGGCCACAGAAAAACAGCAACTGCAGCGTGTCTCCTCTTCTTCCTCTTGCAGAAAACCTTTGGGCGGAGACGAGTGGAGAAACGTGGTGGCTCGTTCAAGGACCGTGAGTGCTGCCTCCCGTCTTACCAAGGGCACCGGCTCCGGTGTTCCCTCTGCCTCGCAGAGCACCGGGACGCTTCTCAGCAAAGCAGATCCCTAGAAGTCCCTTTGCTGTGGCTGCTGCTGCTTGTCCCTGGCCTGGGGGAATTGCTTGTGCCTCCGTTTCCCCACCTGCAAGAGGAGCGTTGCAGCCCCGCTCCCCGGGGTGTGATACGCTCGGGTTGCTGCCGTGCCCAGCTCCCAGCTTGGGTTGCTGCGGGCACACGTGGGAGAGCTGTGCGGCGAGCTGGCTGCGGGCAGCTGTCGGGAGCAAGAGCTGCTGGTTAATTGGTGTTGTGCAAAATCCGACCTCGATGGGGAGGTGCTGGCCCTGGCTTGCTGGCCCCTGTGGCAAGGCTCTTGACCGATGGGGTGAGGGTGGTGGTGGTGGGAAGGGAAGCCATGGGCCACAGCTGGGAGAGGCTTCGCTGACCTCCTGTGTTTTCCTCTGCAGAGCCCCAGCTGTATCAGGAAATCCGTGAGAGAGGTCTGAACTCCGTCAGCCATGAGTCAGATGAGGATTTGCTGGAGGAATCCATCCCAGAAGAGCCGTCCCCACTGGGTGCTGCTATCGTGGTGCAGAGCTATCGCCCGGTGCAGGTGACCTGGAGCCAGCTCCCAGAGGTAGGGGCAGCAGCCCAACCCCAAGGGTCCAAAAGACCCCGCTTGCCCTCACCACGGGCTGCTCCCATGCTCATGATGTCTTGCAGCCACAGCTGCGTGTATTTTAAAAGCTCTCTGAGCTGCCGAACGAGCTGTGAGTGGGTAATTCTGCAGCATTAGTGGGATGTTCTGGGGCTGTCCAGCCCTGGCTGGGACACGCAGGTTCCTGTCCGGGCTCGTCAAGGTGCTGGCGAAGCTGCTGCGGTTGTGCTTGTGCGAGGTTCGCCCGCAGATGGGGGGAAGGCGGTTGCTCCTGCTGGGGACCGGGGCTTTCCCTGCTGTCCCCTGGGGAGAATAATCCCCTCTTGCGGAGCAGCACCAGCTGACGGCCCTGGGTTGCGGAGCTGTGGGAGATGCTGCGGTGGGAGATGCTGCCGTGGGATGGGTGGTGGGTTGTGAGGGGCTGGGCCCAGCCCCAGACCGCACTAGAGGGCGTGCAAGGACTGTCGGTCGGTGGCCAAGGCGTCCGCTAATCCCAGCCTCTTGCCCACAGGTGCTGGAAATGGGCATCCTGCAAAAGATATCCCCCGAAGAGCGCAAACGGCAGGAGGTGAGAAGAACCGTAAATGTGCCCTGGAGTGCAGCATAAATGCCGAAGGCAGCAGGGACACGGGTGGCTGTGTCCGACCCAGCCCTCTCGTGTGGGGCTCAGCCTCGGGTTCAGCTCCCCCGTCCTGCTTCCAGCGGCTCTGGGGCTGGGCGGCATTGGGAGGGCTCACCCAGGCAACTCCTTCAGGTGCTGATGGGAAATAGCCACTGGAAGGGAAAACATCTTAGTTGTGCGGCTTATTAATGCCGGAGTGTACTAAGACACGCTGAAGTTATTGGTGTAGGCTGGGCAATGCATGAGATGATACAGGGAATGACGTACTGTTGGAGCAAAGTCATTTGCAGTGGCTTCGTGCCAACTGGATGTAAATAAGATAAGGCAAGTTTTAGTTCACTGCCTTGTTTAGTCAGTTGGTGGTGTTACATCTTCACTGCCCTGCTTTTTTCAGGCAATGTTTGAGATCATCACTTCTGAGTACTCCTACATGCACAGCCTGAGCGTCCTGGTGTGCCACTTCATGAGGTCGGAGGAGCTGAAGGAGACCATGACTCAGACGGAGCATCACCACCTCTTCTCCAACATCAGCGACATCCTGACAGTCAGCACGAGGCAAGTGAGGGCCTTTGGCCCGGGTTTGGGACCAGGCAGGCCTGGAGGAGGGACTCTGGAGCTCCGTTTATTTGCCATGTAGAAACAACCATCCCTTGGATTGTTGAAGGTACTGAGACATCCCACCTATTGCCCTTCTGCCTAGTGCCTTGTGTCACCACACGCTCCCTTCCCGTGGCTTCCAGCTGTTACGTGCTCAGGACCTAAACATCTGGTGAAAGGGTCTGTTACCCTGACGTCCAATTTTTTGATGGGTTGTAATGGTGGTGCTCAGTCGCATGGCTGCAGTCGGGCACCAAAAGCTGGCTGAGCCCCTATCCCTGTGCCTGGGACACTCCTGTTTGCCTGGAAATTCCTCCTCAGGTGTCCGGTGCTGCCGTGAAGGTGGTGCCTCCCTTTGCCTCTGGGCTGGTGAGATGGGCAGATGGAACCGGTA